CTTCCTTTTGCTTCCTGATGTTGATGCACTGTGACCAAATGCCCACTCCCACTATCATGACTTCCCACAAAATACTATACCTTCAAATTGTGAGTCAGAACAAACCCTTCCTTCATTAAGTTCATTCTGGTCAGGTACCTATTCACAACAACAAGAAAAATAATACAGTCACTATGTCCTGCCTTAAGTATATATTCATTTTAATTATCCTGTCTTTGATTATATGTGTGTATATATGTGTGTGTGTGTGCGTGTGCTTTTATAAACATTTTTTAAGATTTTATTTTTGCTGAGCATGTTGGTGTACACCTTTAATCCAGCACTCAGGAGGCAGAGGCAGGTGGATCTCTGTGAGATCGAGGCCAGCCAGGACTACATAGTGAGTTCCAGTACAGCTGGGACTACAAGGAAACCCTGACTCAAAAAAGACTCCAGGACAAGAGCAGAGGCTGAATTCGGGATCTGACAAGATGGCCGGGCTGCCCCGCAGGATCATCAAGGAAACCCAGCATTTGCTGGCAGAGCCAGTTCCTGGCATCAAAGCAGAACCAGATGAGAGCAACGCCCGCTATTTTCATGTGGTTATTGCTGGCCCCCAGGACTCCCCCTTTGAGGGAGGGACTTTTAAACTTGAACTATTCCTTCCAGAAGAATACCCAATGGCAGCACCTAAAGTACGTTTCATGACCAAAATTTATCACCCTAATGTAGACAAGCTGGGAAGAATATGTTTAGATATTTTGAAAGATAAGTGGTTCCCAGCACTGCAGATCCGCACAGTTCTACTGTCAATCCAGGCTTTGTTAAGTGCTCCTAATCCAGATGATCCATTAGCAAATGATGTAGCTGAGCAGTGGAAGACCAATGAAGCCCAAGCCATAGAAACAGCGAGAGCATGGACTAGGCTATACGCCACGAATAATATTTAAGTCGATCTGATCATCAGGTGTGCGTCACTTCTGTTCTGCCAAGACGTCTTCCTTTTTGTTTGCATTAATGGACACAGTCTTAGAAACATTACAGAATAAAAGCCCAGCCATCTTCATCTTTGGTGATTAAATGCACATTAGCAAATCTGTGTCTTGTCCTGATTCACTGTTGTAAAGCATGAGCAGAGGCTAGAAGTGTCATCTGGATTATTGTGAGATGTTGAAAAGCAGTGTCCCTGCTTTTTCTCATTTCTCCATCATGGTTTAAGTATAAAGCACTGTGAATGAAGGTAGTTGTCGGGGTTAGCTGCAGGGGTATGGTGTTTTTATTTTATTTTTTAGGGGGAAAGTAGTCTTATCTTAATTTTATGCCCCCCACCTTTTGTGGGATCTAATCGCAGTGGTTAAATGCAGCTAACCAGTTCTTTAGAATATTCTCTCTAGCCAAGTCTAACTTTATTTAGACTCTGTAGATGGACAAGCTTGATTGTTTAAACCAAAATGGGAACATCACAGCCCTCACTAATAACATTGTGACTTTGCTGCTTTTTAGTAAAATATTTTTTGTTATTAAAAAAAAAGACTCCAAAGAAGATCTTATTTAATTTATTTACATAGTGTCTATGTGAGTGTACATACACTTTTGTTTGCAGGTACACACGCCTATGCATGTTAATGGAGGCCAGAAGAGGTCATCAAGTATCCTCTTCCATCACTCTCCTCTTATTCCTCTGAGACAAGGTTTCTTCTTGAACCTGGGGCTCCATTTGTCTAGGCTAAGCTGCACTTGGAGTTGGAGTTTTGGAGAATTGTCTGGTGGCATGTTATGTGAGTCTTGGGACATGAACTTCAGTCCTCATGATTAAGGAGCAGTCTCTCTGAACTGCTGAGCCATCTCTCCAGCTCTCTACTTTTGAATATTTCTTAGTGGTTCCTCTGGAAATTCTAATTAAAAAATTCTAATTCTAGTTTGGATAGATCAACTCAATTTCAATACTATATGGAAGCTTTGTGCTAAATATACCTTCACTTCCCTCCTCCTTCATTTCTCCTGCCTCCTCCTTTAGTTATTGTCATGCAAATTATACCTGTGTATAATATTCCTATCCATAAAGTTTATAATTGTTTATACAGTTGTCCTTTAAATTGAAAATTCAAGTTACAAATAAAAATACATATTGCCTTCCACATTTACTTATCGTTCTTAAAAATATTTTATTTTTACTATTTTATGTGTGTGGGTGTATTGCCTGCATGTATGTAAGTGCACCCGTGTCATGCAATGCCTGTGGAGGTCAGAAGAGGACATTAGATTCTCCTGGAACTGCAGTTAGGATGGCTGTTAGCTGCCATATGGGTACTGGGAATTGAACCTGGGTCCTCAGCAAGAGCAGCCAGAGCTTTTAACACTGAGTCATCTCTCTAGCCCCGTTATATAATTATCTTTTTTTTTTTTTTTTTTTTTTTTTTTTTTTTTTTTTCTCTCCCTGTAACCACAGTTGGCCTGGATTCACTATGGAGACCAGGCTGGCCTTGAACTCACAAAGCTCTACCTGCCCCTGCTTCCCATATATTGGGACTAAAGCTGTGGGCCACCAAGCCCAGCTATGTAATTTTCTTTACAGATGTTTATTTTCATGTGATTTTAAGTCTTGTCTAGTGTCTTTTTATTTGAAGCTGAAGGATTCGTTTTAGTATTTCTTGTAGAGGTTTCCTATTGGCAAATTCTTGTTATTTTCATTTGTACATACATTTTGGGAATGCATTAATATCTTCTGTGTTTTTAAAAGTATAATAATGCTGGAGGTAGAATACTGTTGATCTTTTTCTTTTGAGTTTTAAAAATATTTATGGGCTGGAGAGATGGCTCAGCAGTTAAGAACACTGGTTGTTCTTGCAGAAGACCTGGGTTTGAATCCCAGCACCCACATGGCAGCTAACAACTGTCTGTAACTCCAGTTTCAGGGGATCCAACACCCTCTTCTGTCCTCCTCTGGCATTGCATGACATGGGTGCACTTACATACATACACATAAAATAAAAATACACATATACACATAAAATAAAAATAACAAAATATTTTAAAATTTTCATTTTTCTTTTATGTGTATGAGTGTTTTGTCAGTATGTAGGTAGGTGCACCCATGTTGTGCAGTGTCTGCGGAGGTCAGAAGAGGGCGTCAGATTCTCTGGAACTGGAGTACTTGGTGGGGGGTGTTAGCCACCATGTAGGTGCTGGGATTCAAACCGCGGTCTTCTGCAAGAACAGCCAGTGCTCTTAACTGCTGAGCCATCTCTCCAGCTCCAAGAGTTTAGGCTTTTAAAAATAATTTCTTTTTATTTTTTGATGCAATATCTTTTTCTTACTTTCTTCCAATTCTTCAGACATGGTTTCCATGAGCTTCTTCAACATATTTAAAATATCTTTATTATTTTTAGAGCGTATCTGGCTATGTGGTCTAGCTATGTGGTCCAGGCCTGACTCAAATCCATGACAATCCGCCTGAGTCAGCCTCCCAAGTGCTGGAATCACAGATACGTGTTGCAAAGCCCAGCTAAGCCTTAATCTTTAGTCTTTCCTTGAAAATTTCCTTGTGAACTTTAATAAAATAAGGTGCATGACTGTATTTGTAAAGCACAAAAAACTTTGCCAATGAGATGGGGAGTGGATTGAAGGATGGCAGACTAGAGGTAGGCAGAAGATTAATGCAGTAATCTAAGGAAAACACCACTGCTGCAAGATGGGTCTTAGTTAAGGCTGAAGTAGAGAGCCTGGACAGTGAGCAAGGCTTGGTGGTGCAAACCTCAATCCTAGAGACTTGGGAAGCTGAGGCAGCAGGAAGATGGCAAATCCAAGTCCAGCCAGGGATAAAGAGTAAGTTCTAAGCCAATCTGGGCAATTTAGCAAGAGTCTGTCTGAAAATAAAAAATATGAAGAGGCCTAGGGATACAGTGTAGTTAGTGGTGGAACACTTGCCTAAAGTGTTAAGCCTCAGATCAGTCTCTAGTGGGGGTAAGGAGGGAGTGGATTGGCACAATGACCCACAGCACACCTAGATTGTTAGGTTAGGTTGGCCATACCATCTTCCCCTTCTGCCCTATGACTTTTGTTTTTTTTTTTTTCGGACAGGGTCTCCCTGTAGCCCCAGCTGGCCTGGAACTCACTATGTAGACCAGGCTAGCCTTGAGCTCAGAGATCCTCCTGCCTCTGCCTCCCAAGTGCTGGGATTAAAGGCTTGTGCCACCACACCCAACATTTTAAAACACAGTTGTGTATATGTGAGAGAGGTCTACACAATTGTGTTTCTCATAAAACTTTGGATGCAGATTCTGTTATTTCTTCAGCCACTAGATTCATCAACATTTTTGACTTGGGAATGTTTTAAAGATTTTAGCAAATTTGAGAAAGTGAGGGGGATAGGTAGATTTGGTGCCCTAAACAGACTGTATATAGACCTAGAATGTGATATAAACTAGTCGACATTAACTACTTAGGCAGTTTTGCTTTTTGAAAATCTACCATACAGCAGAAATAAGTAAAAGGCGGTTGCTGATAATTACGTAGAGAAACCTGAATTAAGTAATCTTTAAATACTGTATAAGAGGCATGAACATTTTCATTGAAACCCATAATCCTTTTTTTTCGACACACAAGTCTCACTATGAAGCCCAAGCTGGCCTGGAACTCAGGGAGGACCTCACAGAGACCAGTTTGCCTCTACATCTCCAGTGCTGGAATTAAAGGAGTGAACCACCACCAGAATCTTTTTAAAGCAGGGAAGACAAGACTGGGTAAACCGGACTACAGAAAAAGGGCCTGTTGCTCTCTAATCATCTACCTGCCTCATTGGAAATAAGGGGTAAAGCTATTTTTCAAATTTCTAGGTCAGAGGGTATGCTCTGTGGAAACCGCCACACGATTGGTGAGAAATACGAGGATGTCCTAGGGTGGGACGGCCAGGCGACTTCCGCCTGCTGAAAAAGGGACGGGGCAGCCTGCGCCTGCGCTTTGCGCTTCACCCGACGCCCGCCCCACTCCCGAACTGTCTCCAATTGGCCGTCGGGGGAACGGAAGCCGAAGTAGAGCAGTGAACCCGGAAGTGCTTCTCAGCAGAGGCCTGGGCCACTCTTTTGAATGGAATCGGGCTGATTCATCCCGGGTTCACAGAGCCAGATCGCCGCCGACTGTGAGGCGCTGCCCGGCTGCCGCTGTCGCTGCACAGGCCAGGTAAGGTCGGAACCGCGACTTCCCTCCCTGTGGCCTCGGCCGTTCGGAGATGCAGGTCCCGGAGGCAGCCGCGCTAGGCCTCTAGCCCCAAGCTTTCCTCTGAGTCACATTTCCAGTGGAGGCCAGGCCCGGACGGGGAGTGCAGGGCCGGGACGGGGAGGAGCACAGGCCCGGTCGTCCTTTCCTCCCGTGCCCCCTAAGGCATGGTCAGGACTGGATATCCTTTATTCTTCCAAACATTTCTGCTTAAGTACAGCTTGCGAACCTTTCCTCCGTCAACAGGTAGAAGTCCTGTTTGTGTTCTTATCCTTAGTTCCTCCTGTGTTGAGAAACTTCAGAACAGTTAAGGGAAACAGAATAAAATTACCTTCCTATAGAGGGCATGTTCGCTTCATCACTTGTCTTACCTATAGACTTTGCTCGTGGCGTTAGGCTTGCAACTCCTTCCAAAATGATTAAAATCCTCGGAGAGACATTGTTTTTAATCTTGAATATTTTCAAAGTGAAGTTTTTCTTGCTGTGTCTTTACTTTCAGTTTTGCCCTATTGAATAGTGGTTTGTGGACTGATTACATTTTACGTTTTGAGAAAATAGAAATCTGCTGCCGCTGCTTTGTAATGGTGGAACTCAATTTTTTTGAGAATCGAGCTCTCTGTCTGACAAAAGAATGCCAGCATTCTTAGAAAGAATCTAAGTAGAAATCTAGTGACTGAATTTGTCTGTTTGTTTTGGAGACAGGGTCTTACCTCTCTCTTGTAGGCCAGGTTGGTCTAGAACTTACTATGGAGACCAGCCTGGCCTTAAACTACGGGCAAGCTTCTCTTCTCAGCTTCCCAACCGTTGAGATTACAGGCATGTAATCCGACCTCAGAACTCACTGAAAAAAAAGTTAGGGTGGTAACCAAATATTAATAAACATTTCATATGAAAGGCTTTAAAATTAGCATAGAAATATAGTTCTAGCGTGAAAACTTTCAGCACTCAGCCTGGAATGATAAGGCAGGTTTGAGGCCAGCCTGGTCTGTATAGCAAGTTCTAGGCCAGCCAGGGCTATGTGGAAAGACCCTATTCTTTCATTGCTGGCCACTGACTATTGTGACTCTTCTGGCTCATCCTCCTCAGTGCTGGGATTATAGATAGGTATGTTCCTCCACATTGAGCCTGAAAGTTGGTTGTAGTGCTGTTGATCATTAAGTGTAAACAAAGCAGTAAGACAGGTACTTGGTATGATGAAATCAGAAACTGGACACAGTGTCAGTGAAGATAATTAACATATTGGTGACCTTGCCATGAAAGGTCACCAAGTGGTTCATTTTTAGTGTTTAAATTATATGATTTAGGGGCTGGAGAGAGAGCTCAGTGGTTACTGTTCTTGCAGAGGACCCAAGTTTGGTTCCCAGCACCCTTGTCAGATGGCTCACAGCTGCCTGTTCTAGCTTTACCGGGGACCCTACACCTTTAGCTTCTGCAGGTACCTGCACTCATATGCACATACCACATATACAAACATATAATTTAAAAATTATATGATTTAAACAAATTGTACAAGTTGTGTATTTATAGTGATTAAAAATTAATAGTCATAAAATTAACTATTGTTAAGATGTGTTTGGTGTAAAACTGAAAGTTGTCTTGATTTATTTCAAAACAAAAATTAAATCTTGCCAAAAAAAAGAAGTTTTGAAGTCCTGACCTTTTATTTTAGCCTCATGTGTTGAGTTTGGAAGGTGGTTTATCCTTCACGCCCACCAGATACTTGGTAATTAATACATTGCCATTCTAATTGAAAAGCTGTATTTTAACTTTGGTGAAATGGCTTCATCTTATTTTTATATTTGACATATACCACGCTCTATTTAGCATGTAGATTCAGAACCACTTGTTTAAAAGTGAGTGGTAGGAAGCAATTGTGCCTTTTGGTTTTCAGTATTAAAGCAATGTTTATTTCATGGTTCAGTGTCTGCCAGTGAAAGCCTTACCTGAATCCTCACATCTGATCTTGATGAACTTATCATATGGTTTTGATGTGCTCATTTGACATTTCACTCATTTTGCTTTGGGATGGTTTGGTATCATCATCTGTAAAATGAGAGAATTAGACTGAATGATCTTTACCAGTTCTAGGATAGTTGTAACAATAGTAACAGTAACATTTATTGACAGCGTTATACCTAGGATGTTCCAGGAACTATATTAGATGTTTTGGATGTATTGTGACAACAGACTTGCAGGGTTCAGTACTTTAGAGATGAGATCTAGAATCTAGAAGAATGTAACTTATTCCATGTACTAGAGAGTTCAAATCTAAGTTGACTGGTTTGAGAGCCTTTCTTATCCTATTTTACTGTCTTTTCATATTGCATGCTTTTTATATTTTTTGATTTCCTGAGTGTATAAGTATTCAGAAAATGTTTGGCTTAAATGTTATAATTATGGAAGAAGGCAATAGATATTTATATTCCATCCTTAATTTTCTAAGTGGTGCCTGGAATGGAATCTTGCTTTTTATGTTGGTTGGTTGGTTGATTGACTGTGTGTGTGTGTGTGTGTGTGTGTGTGTGTGTGTGTGTGTGTGTGTGTGTACGTGGAGGTGCCATGGCACATATGGGGAGAT